CGCCGAGTGGACAGACTGCTTCAGATGGCTAGTGTTTCCCGAGCACCCGCCAAGTGGGCACGAGGCCTCCGTCCAACACTCAATGGCAGCAGCGCGCTGGCTGGACACAAGGCGGCCAGCTAGCATGGATGGATGGATAGATGGATGGATAGACAAATGATAGAGGAAAGATGGATGGATGGATGGATGGATGGATGGATGGATGGATGGATGGATGGATGGATGGATAGACAGACTGCAGGGTGAGTAGAAAGATGGGTAGACAGATGGAAGGGTGAATAGATGAGTGGACAGATGGATGGACGAATGGAGCAGGAGAGCAGGGTGGGTCATGGCTGTACCGGGAGGGTGATGAGCCCCTCTCCCACCCCGCCTTGACATCCCTCCTTCACCCTCACGGATCCACAGTCCTCCCCATTGACCCAAGTGACCCCTTCTCCAGACGCTCCCTTCTCGAGCCAGGAGGCCCTCACTGCACGACCGGCTCCGGGCCTGGCAGAGGAGATCCAGAGCCCAGTCTATGCTACCCTGGGCCCCTGGCAGCCCCCACATCACCTTTTCCCGATCAGGATCTGGCAGGGTCTGTTGTTGATGGCAGTGTCACTCCTGTGTCGTCCCTGGGTGGAGACAGAGGGTCAGAGAGATGGGCCGCCCACTCTCTAGCCATGCCCTGGCCACACCCAGGCAGCCCCGCAGCCCCTGCTCACAGGAGGGAACCAAGGTGTCAAAAACCAGCCTGTGCCCCACCTCCGGTGCCCCTGCCCCACCCCACTGTGTCTGTCCAGGGTAGTCGGTCAGAAGAATGCTGTCAGCCAGAAGGTAGATCCCACTGACCCTGCTGCACGGCTCCAGACCTGCCCAGCCTGGCCACCCAAGTAAAAGAGCCCCAAGCCACACGGCTAACTGTGCCAGGGTCACCCGCCCAATGTGGCTGCCCAGGCAGTGGCCCTGAAACAAGGCCCCAGAGGGCCACAAATAAAATGGCCTCAAGACGATATGGCTGACGGAGCCAGGGTGGCCTGTCCCATAGGCCACCAAGACCTAAAAATAAAAAAGAGTCGCTGCCAACTCACAGTGACCCGATAGGACAGGGTAGAACCGGCCCTGTGGGTTTCCCGGACTGTCACTCTTTGTGGGAGTAGAGAGCCCCGTTTCCTACCCCCATCCCCACCCCCAGGAGCAGCTGGTGGTTTCAAACCACTGACCTTGCCGCTAACGGCCCAACCACAATGCCACCAGGACTCCTCTCCAAGGCACGTAGCTACCTGAACTGTCCGGACAGTCTGGGGGCTTCAACACATTCAGTCGGGGGATCTCATTATCTCTGAATTCCACACCGCTACGCACCCTCCGAAGCTTCCCCGGGCTTTACCAGCGGGGAAGCTGGTAAAGGACTTTTCTCGC